CTTAAATTATCTCTTTTTTCTCTTCATGTTCTAGAACACGGTTTTGAGCACCCCTGGCTTATATCCAATGATTGCTCTCTCACCAATCCAGTTGAACTCTTAAATAGTTGTTTTTTATTTCTCTCACAATTTGTAGATCAGTACGGGCTGAAGTTTTTCACGGCCTTCATCCGTTATAGACTGTTACTAGTGATCCAGTTTCAAAAAACCGACTTAGTATACAGAAATAATTATGAAATCACATAAATATTTATGAAACATTTCTCGGAAATCATTTTCTGTGATATGTTGTTTTGATAGTCACTGATAATTTGCTGTTTTATTCAGGTACTGTATTTGCTTCTAGCCATTTTTAAAATTTTTTGGGCAGTACTTAAAAAACGAAAAGAAAAACACATACTGTTGTAAAAAACTTCTCAAAAAGGATTTATGACAAGGGAAATTGTCGAAGGAAGCAAAAAGCGATAAATATCACAGTAAACACAACTGAAATTGCAGCGGTTATATGAATGTACAACAGAGTTGCTTTTGTTTTGTCCAAGCCAAAATCGGGTTAATTGACTTTACCAAACATTATTTTTTATATAAAAATTAATTTTGTTTTTTTTTTGTTTTAGGTTTTTAAAAAGCGAATAAAATACCTAATTTAAAACAAGAAAAACTTTCTCATTTTCTTAATTTTTAAAAAAGTTACAGGACATTCATTCTCCTTGTAATTTCAGTTGCTTTAGTTTTGGCCACCAGTGTATATATGCAAAAAAAAGAGTAGCTTCTTTGGTTTTTTTTCAAGCTGGTTTAGTGGAGTAGTAAAAATATTTATTTATGTTGAGTATTTAAAAGAAGGTTAAGTCCGATATTATATTAAATTTATATGTATAACAAGTAAGCAAAGGTTAAAGTCGTGCAGAGCCGATAATGTGATTCCCTACAAAAGTACAATTTGTTAAAATCCCCTTTATGTCCAAACTCATTTTAGAAGATTTCGCTTTTAAAATTATGTCACGGAGCACTGTCCAGATATTACCCTTAACATTTTGACCAAGGACATTTGCCCAATATTTACGCACTTCTATATAATCCAATGGTCAATAATCCAATGGTCAATGGTCAATGCTAAAATTTTTCCCTGTCCTTAACTCTCTTAACAGGCGTGTCGATTAGCTTCAATTGTGTGATCAGGAAGTTTTTATACCCTCCACCATAGTATGGAGGGTATATTAAGTTTGTCATTCCGTTTGTAACACTTCGAAATACACATTTTAGACCCCAAAAGTATATATATTCTTGATCAGCATAAAATTCTATGTCGATTTAGCGATGTCCGGCCGTCTGTCCGTCTGTGGAAATCACTGTAGCTTCCGAACGAGTTGAAGTAGATTGATAAAATTTTGCTCAAATGTATGTTATGCCTACAGGACTTTTGGCATTGAAAATGGGCCATGTAGATCCACGTTTTGGTATAGCCCCCATATAACGGTACCTCCCGATAATCGGTATTTTGATGATTTTAGCGGCATTATTCCCGGGAATTGTCTCAAATTTGGTATTTCAAGTTCTGAATGGGTACTACAGCCTAAGACAGAAAATTGTCTGTGCAGGTCCACCTCTTCATAAAGCTCCCCATTTTGATTTTATCGACATTATAACCAATTTTTTCAAGTTTCGCATTTCAATAATGTAATGGCTTATGACAAATGTTACCTACGCAGGTTCATGTCATCGTATAGACCCTAATATAATAGCTATATTGGGTATTTTTAAGATTTTAACAAAATTTTTAACGGATTTTATTGTTTTTGAGAATTGCCAAATTCGTTCAAAATGGTAGAGGGTATTCAAAGTTCGGCCCGGCTGAACATACAGCTTTTTTACTTGTTTCTGTTATGGTCTATTTCATCCTCTAAATATTACCCGATGACCACCAAAATTGGAAGACTTCTGCCAAGCACTAAGCTCTAGGCCCATGCTAACTTCCACGTCGATTGGTCTATAATTGCGATCTAAATATTATGTGATCATCTCCAAAAGCAATAAGCTTAGCCCCACTTCCATTCTAAATTTCGTGAAAATCGGGCAATAATTGCGACCTGTACAGTGATTACAAATTAACATGGACAAACGGACGGACGGACATACATAGCTAGATCGACTCAGCTCGCCGAGATAGGAAGATCCATATGTACTTTCCTATGTGGGAAACCAATATTTCGAGGTGTTACATAATTTTTGGCCCAATCAAACTTATAATACTCCCAACACATAGTGTTGTAGGAAGGCGGGTTCTATAGATTTCTCACATGGAAACTTATAGTAAGAGAAAAATCTACGAAAGGTATTTTATAATTACAACCTAGAGGATATCTCCAACCAATAGAAGTCTTTAAGATAATCTATGTTTATAAAAGAGTAGTAAAACAACTGATCTAGAATCGACGAACAGCCGCAACAGCAGAAGATAGAAACTTGAAATTTTGTACGAGGGCCAGTCTTGGCGCGTAGGCATGTTATAAGGCTTGTTTTTTTAATAAAATGTACTGAAATTTAATACGTTGTATTGGACAAACGGAATAAGCCAAAATTCGAAATTTTAGAATGAGTTTCACTGATGGAATGCCCGATCGATGTACTAAAGGCTTTTTGAAATTTCGAACTTGAGGGTAACGAAAAATTCTATTATGGCACTAAACTTCCAAATGGTACCATTTGGTATTATTTGAACGGATAGAGCTAAAAATTTAATTTTGCATGCGACCTTTACTAAATGGTACTAAATTTGCAACAGTATGGTTTGGGTGAACGTATGAAAGTAAAATTGTGAAATTTTGTATTGGAGTGCCTTTTGGTGGTTGGTTTGTGATAAGGAGATGGTTTTGGAAATGTGTAGTACAAGTGCACGAAAAGTACTGTATTTGATACAATAGGTAGTGCTGGAAATCTGAAATTTGAGTTAGGGTCACTGTTCATGTGTAGCCTGGACATATAGAGGTGGTTTCGGGAATTTGTACTATAACTGTACGAAAAGTATTGAATGGTTCTAAATTTTATATTTGGTAAGGGATATAGTTTGAATCCTAAAATTAGATTTTGAGGTCTCTGTTGGTATGTGAAATTGAGATATGGAGGTGAGTTTGTGAAATGTGTACTATAATTGTACGAAAAGTACTTTATAGTACTAAATTTGGTAAAGGGTGAAAGAATAGGGCTGAAAACCTAAAATTTGATATGAATGTCACATTTGGTGTCTATGGTTAAGATATGGAGGTACTATAATCGTACGGAAAGTATTAAATGGTAATATACTTCGTGAGTGAAGATTACCTCTATACCTGAAATTTGATATTTAGATTACTGATGGTAAATATGCCTGAGAGTTTGCAGTAGTTTAAAAAAGCGTCCTATATTTGTACGAATAGTACTAAATGGTACTAAATTTGGTATTGGGTATCGGAATAGGATGGTATTGGGAAATCCTGAAATTTGTTATGGATGTCACTGTTGGTATCTGGAATTGTGATATGAAGGTGATTTTGGAAATGTGTACTACAATAATTTGGAAAGTACTGGATGGTACTAAATTTAATACAAATTGGTATTGGGTGAAGGGATAAAATGAAATACAGAAATTTGATATATATATAACTGATAGTATCTGTATTTGAGATTTGGTGGTGGTTTGGAAATGTGTACTATAATTCTACGGAAATTATTAAAAGAAAGTATTAAAAGGTACTAAATTTGGTATTGAGGTTTCTGTTGGTATCTGGAATTAAGATTTGGAGGTGGTTTTGGAAATGTTACTATGATTGTACGAAAAGTACTAAATTTGGTATTGGGTCACTTCCATATGGAGATGTTGAAATGAACCAATTGTACATTTCGAGTACTATCAATTAAAAAAGCATCAATCCTGAAATGAAATCCGATATATGGGGGCTATTTGAAACAATTCCGAAGAATAACGTTGCTAATATCATCAAAATATCAAATAAAGGTACGTACCGTTTTATGTGAGTTATACGAAAACGTGGACCTACATAGACAATTTTCCGTCATAAGTTGTAGTACTCGTTACAAGCTTCAAACTTTAAATACATAATTTTGAAAAATTATATTTAATTAAACCAAGTAATATTATAGTCAGTCTGTTACTAATTTCGGTACCTCACATCCCAAACTTTTCTGCTTATATAGGAAGCATGTGATATAATGGTTTTAGAATTTTCGGTGCCGATCCAGAGATATCCATCCATCAGCCTATTGTACGCGCTACCTATTGAATATCGGCTCACTTCTGGCACCTGCTCTTCTAAGGGCAAACATTTTCAAAAAACTCATATATTTTATAGAAAGCTGGGTCTAAGGGTGTGCTGTTATGGAAATATTTTTTCATGGGATATATTTTAAAACCCACAGACGGTTAAAAAATAATAAAAATCCAACCTAAAGTGATGTTTGTATATTGAAGCTTTTATATAAAAATGAAGTAGAAAATGTGGGTCAATTCCATTTGACATCTTTCCCTCAATGGGAGAGATTTTTTTTAATAAAATATTAAATTAGTTCCTTATGTTTGACAAACTACCCAAATTCTTTGTAAATCATATGAAACGTCAGATATAGGTTCCCTCTTTCCTACACAATTACCATTAGTTTAAAAATTCATTAAAACCTCATATACCAATGGGTGTAAACGCATATTTAATGAAAATGCCCTATTTTTATTGTTTTTGTGGCTATTAGTTTATTTGAATTGCAACAAAATTAATAGCTTCAAAGACAATAACTCCATCCCACCCTCAAATTATCTGAATAACGAAAAGGTTAATAATATGCAATCAGGACAATGCGATAAATGTGGCGTAAACATGTGCCACAAATTGTATTGTGGTCAATTCTTGATAGAGATTACAAATTAAAGTGGTTGGCGAAAATAATTAATTGAAAATTATATGGATGTTAATCACTTAAGCATTTTAAATTTGCATATAATTACCACTTACCTCTGCAGCAGCATGAGATTCCAAAATTCTGAAAAAAATAGAAAAAAATAGAAAAAAAAATTTTTAATTAGTTTTTTAATTTTAGTTATTGGTTAAGATAGTCTATAAGTTCAATATCGGTCATGATAGTTAACTAAATAAATAAATTCGTTTTTCTTTGAAAAAAAGCAAAAAAGACAGTATTTTGTTAAGATACCTATATCAAGTTACGAAGAAAAGTATGATATATCTGCACAAATATTTGTTTGATTTTAGTATAATTATACTCTCAGTATAATTATACTCTCATTTTTGAATGAATAAAACCTTTATAAAAATTATAGGTAACATATACAGCTAAGGAATTTCAAAACTACGACCAAAAATAGCATTTGTGTAAAACTTAGTTCAAACCGCCAAAAATATGTGAAATACGTCACCGAGTTAATTCAAAATTACACACATCCAAATATTTTTTATCAATATTATATGAAGTGGAAAAATAGAATTAATCCATTAGAACATCGTAATATTTTTATAAGATTAAGTCAATTTGTTTGTGGAAAAATATCCTCAAGTCTTTGTCTAAATTTAATCACATTCTAGGATATGATGAAATAGAAAATAGTAGATATTTTTTAGAAAAAAAGAGAAAGAATTCTTAAGGAACTATCTGGTCAGAGATTTGCTGTCATTAAAAAAAAAATTGGGGCAATAAGACCAGATTCCGTTGGTTTTTTTTAAATTTTTCAGTTGTGTATTTGAAAAATTTTCTTGGTTTTTCTAAAGAATATTATTCACAGAAATATTTTTAACGAGGTCGTAAATTTTTGTTGAACTATTTTTTTAAAAATATTTTTGAAAAGGTGATAATTTTTTATGCCCTCATCCAAATGGTTACATAGTACCCTTATTTGATAAAGTAAAAACGTGCCTCATCGAAATAAAGGTTTTGGACCCTAGATGCCTCAGAACCAAATTCGTTTGAGGGCATTTAGGAGTTGATTTGGGATTATCCGTCTGTCAATCCCTTTGTCTGGCTGGTGCGCACGATAACTCTCAAAGAGTGTATCCGATTTGTTCCAAACTTAGTACATCGTAATAACATTTTCAAACATATATCGAGTTCGGAGAAGGGCAATATCGGACCAAAATAGTTAAGCTTAATCTCATTATTGTTGATTTTATAAAAAGTACGTTTGTTTATTAGTGGAAAAATAAGGTAATATATACCAGGGATTAGGATTCGGAAAGAGCCAGTAATCCTCATCAGATCAATTGGTTCTTGTCTAGGGATTTTCTCCCCAGCAGTTATTTTAAAATAACTCCTATGACAATTTGTTTTATACCATCAGCCATATCGCTAGAAAGGGTATATATCATTTGATGCGGCCAAAAGTCTGCCTTATCAAAATAAAGGTTTGTCTCTTTGGATCAAATCCATTTCAGGACATTTGGAGTTTATCTAGTGATGTCCATCTGCCTATCTTCTTTTGGTACCTCCCACACAAAATGTCAAAATTTTCAAAGAAAATATTTTATTGCGCAGAAAGAGAAAGGTAAATCCGATTTTGCTCCAACTTTGCAAATCCCAATATTTGCATCAGTGCTAGGTCAGATGCGAAAATGGACAATATCGGTCCAATTTGAATAACCAAAACGATTATAAAATCTGAAATAAGCGTCCGCTTCTCTTCATATTTCACACATCCCATTATTTCTAATAACACAAGATCTTCTGTGAAGATGGTTTTCCAATTCTTCTGGTACCTCCCCCACAAAGAGTTAAAATTTTGAATATCCGTGAAGTTCATAAAACGCAAAACTTATAGCCGATTCCATTCAGACTTGGTACATTTCAATAATTCCATCAACACAAAATCTGTTATAAAGATGGTAGAGATCGGACAATTTCTTCTGATACCTCCCCACATAGAGTTCAAGATTTAAAACAAGTAAAAAAGTATCGGTCGGTTTTGCCGATAGATGTATACCCTCAGCCCTCTTCACCCTCTATGGAGTGGGTTTTGAAAGAATGGGTCAATATTGTTCATTTCGTATCGGACCTAAATAAATATAAATATGATATGATAAATAAATATGATATGAATATTATTATAGCAGATGGATAAATCAATTGTAAAGAATCGCTGAGTTGTTTCGCAATTTATGACAGATGTAAATATTGACAATTGTGTCCCTTTGTGGGTGAGGTACCAGCAGGAGTTCGCAGATATATAGCATCTTCACAACAGATCTGGTGTTAGGAAAAATGCTTTTATGTGTGAAATTTGAAGAGAGTTGGATCCTTATTTCGCTTTCTTTGAACGTAATGTTTTTCAAAATTAGATTATTGCTTCCCTTTCTGTGCAGAAAATATATATTTGTGGGGGAGGTACCAGAAGAAGTGGACCGATATACTCCATCTTTACAACAGACCTTGGGCTAATAAAATGATTAGGATGTGTGAAATTTTAAGACAATCCGACTCTTACATCACATTTATGAGAGTTGTAATTATTCAACATTTTGAGCAATTGTGGGGGAGGTACTTGAAGGAGTGAACCAATGTTGTCCATTTTCGCACCAGACCTAGCACTGATGCAAATATTACGACTTGCAAAGTTGGAGCAAAATCGGATCATCGTTTCTCATTCTGTGCAAAAATATGTATTTTTTTGAAAATTTCGACCATTTGTGGGGGAGGTACCATAAGGAGTGGACGGATATATTCCATCTTAACACCAGAGCTTGGATTAAAATAAATATTGGGATGGCCGACATTTGAAGACAATCGGACTCTTACATCACATTTTATGAGACTTGTAACTCTTCAAAATTTTGACCATTTGTGGGGGAGGTACTTGAAGGAGTGAACCGATATTGTCCATTTTTACACCTAACGTAGAACTGATGCAAATATTAGGATTTGCAAAGTTGGAGCAAAATCGGATTATCATTTCTCTTTCTGTGCAAAAAATATATTTTTTGCAAATTTCGGCCTTTTGTGGGGGAGGTACCAGAAGGAGTGGACCGATATGGCTCATCTTAACACCAGACCTTGGGTTAACATAAATATTGGGATGTGTGAAATTTGAAGACAATCGGACTCGTACATCACATTTTATGAGAGTTGTAATTATTCAAAATTTTGACCATTTGTGGGGGAGGTACTTGATGGAGTGGACTGACATTGTCCATTTTCACACCTGACCGAGTACTGACGCAAATATTAGAATTTGCAAAGTTGGAACAAAATCGGATTAATCTTTCTCTTTCTGTGCAAAGAATATTTTTTTTGCAAATTCCAACCTTTTGTGGGGGAGGTACCAGAAGGAGTGGACCGATATTGCCCATCTCCGAACTCGATCTAAGTTTGACAAAGATATTACGATGTACCAAGTTTGGACCAAATCGGATACTCCCTTCGAGAGTTATCGTGCGCACCAGCCAGACAGACAGACATACAGACAGACAGACGGACGGACGGACGGACATCGCTAGATCGACTCCAAATGTTCTGAAACGGATTTGGTCCAAAGAGACCTAGGGTCTAAAACCGTTATTTCGACTAGGCACGTTTTGGCCGTATCAAATGATATATACCCTCTGTAGCCATATGGCTGAGGGTATAAAAAGGCTCAAAGAAAGTGAAATAATCAAGCAACTCTCTTCAAATTTCACGCATACAAACATTTTTGCTAACACAAGATCTTTTGTGAAGATGGTATACATCTGCGGAACCCTTGCGGTACCTCTCCCACAAAGGGTCACAATTTTTAATAATTGTATCTGTCATAACTTGCGAAAAAAGTCAGTAATGATATATCTAAATATTTTTCTCAACCAGAAACCTGAGATGAATATGGAAGTTATGATTTCGCATAAAATTGGATATAAATGTTCGATTTTTATATCTGGTACCTCAAGCACATTTCAACATTTTCAAAAAATATCTCATACAAAGTGAACGAGGTAGTCGATATAGTCCAAACCTGGCACGTCGCAATATTTATATCATTTTTATTTAGGTCCAATACGAAATGGACAATATTGGGAAAGTAGCAAGAAGCGAAGACAAAATTGCGCCCAACGTGGAAGAGAGAAAAACAAGCACAGACCATGTGGGATATGACTGACTGAGGGAAATGACATTTCGCCAAATGTCCTTAAACAGAGTTTGTATATACACTTATATATTAACAGAATAAACCAGGTTCAACTACGCAAACAATTTCTCCACAATAACTTAATTGGTTCCAATAAATGTACATGTAGCTATGCAGCTTTTGGAAGATTTTTTGATGGCTTAAATTAAAAAATGTTTAATTTTTTTCAATGGGAAACCCTAATTTGGGTTGTGGCGCCCAACGTGAAAGATATCACATCTCAAAATTCCGATGTATTTACAAATTATATAATTTGAAGTAGGTCTGAAACCAAATTTAGTATGGACGTAAGTAAGTAATGAAATGATGTCCGAAACTGGATAAACATTTCAGACAGAAGTGTCCTAGTAATTCTACTTCTACAATAATTTAAAGGAAATAATTCTTAGTCGCCCCCAACTGCGAAATGAATGAGTGTTAGTGGTTTCTTGTAATTTCTTCACATCTTGAGTTTCACTATTCTCATATTTTTAAAAATAAAGACCGTTCAACTGACAAAATTTTCATCCGGATCCTTACCAACCCATAATCGCCAGCCCAAATTATATGATCTTCCTCTGGCACGTCGCAACATTTATATCATTTTTATTTATGTCCGATACGAAATGGACAATATTGGCCCATGCCTTCGGAACCTACTCCGTAGAGAGTCAGCAATTTGAATAATCATAAGAGAATCCAAAATATATTAAAATAATCGAATATCTGTCGGCAAAACTGGCGACTGATACTTTTTAATTTGCTTCATTTAGGTTTTTTAATTTTAAAACACTTTTCAAGGATGTTGACAAAGGTGCAACAAAAACAAATTAAATATTTCCAAGAATGTAATACTAAAAACAATTTTCAGTTAGAATTTTTTTCCTAAACCTGAGTGGCGCAATCGTCCTTTATGGCAGAGTAAAAACAAACAACCTGCTATATTTTTTTTAATAATAAAAATCAACAAGAAATGCAATATATGAAATTTTGAAATCTACTTTGTTTTGTTTCATATCCTCTATGTGACGTAGCGAAAAAAACCTTCTCTTTTAGACATACATACACACATAAATACTTACATATCCGTATGTAGCAAGTGTGTACTATGACTAAATGTTTGTTGATTCCTCCCGGTGGTTTCTTTGTTGTTTCTGTTACTGCTGCTGCTGCTGCTTCTACTGCTAATGCAACAGCAGCACAGAACTAGCAGCAACAATGACTGACTGACTGAACCAATGAATGAATGAAGAAACAAACGTACGTACGTACAAACGTGGAATGAGAATGGTATGTGGCTCGGATGATGTGGTGGTATGACTATTTAACATTAATTTGTTGTTTGTTAGGTTAGGTTATGGTTGCATGGATGAATGGTGGCTGGCTGGCTGGAAGGCTGGTCGGTCGTTCGATACCACACCACACAACATCAACACACACACACAACAGTTCAAAAGCTTAGCGCAGCAGCAGCAACAGCTAAGAGTTCTGTGGCCCTCATTTGCCGCACATTATGCAAAAGTTCAAAATCCTATGTTTACACACACACGCTTACATATCCATACATACATGTGGAGGTTTAGTGGTATGAGCCGGACTTTCTAAATGAATGTATGAGCAAATATATTGGGATGTGACGAGGCTTCTGACGAAGGACAACATTCTTTTTTTTTGGAAAAAGAATTTTGCATTGTAACGAACGAATAACAAAACACAACACATTTTAGCTGCAAAATGAATTCAAAATTCTTTAAATATTTAATATCATAGCTCTGATAGCCTTAAACAATTATTTTTTGAAAATGTTGCAGTCCGGATTTTATACCCTTCAAAAATCATAAATAATGTCACGATTCTTATATGTTATTAGGATCTGCCGTCCACGTTTAAAATATACTCTGAGTGCTAGAATACAATCAACCCTATTTTAGTTTGAATTGCAAAATTCCAATTTCTGTAACGGTACCATACCATAACACATTCTCTTACATGTATTTCCATTGAAGGAATCAGCACTCCAAAATTAGAGGGCGTGAAGTTTTTATTAAAAACAATCTATAGCAAATGTATCCGCAATGTATGGGTTAAAGTAAATTAAAATTAGTATGAAAAAATAAAATACATTTTTTTAAAGTAGGAAATAGATATTTTTTTAGTATAGGAAATAAATCTATTATATGGCGCCCAACGTGAAACAACGCCTTTTTTAAGTAAGAAATAAAAAAATCAACTAACACAACTCCTGAAAGTTTTCTCTAAGAATAGTAGCATGCAGGGAAGATAAGAAAAAGAAATGGCGCCCAACGTGAAACAACGCCTTTTTAATGAATGAAATAGAATATGAATATGCACAGCTCCTGAAACTTTTTTCTGAGGACATTAGCAAGCAGGGAGGATACGAAACGGAAATGGCGCCCAACGTAAAACAACGCAGAGGAGGTACGATATTACCATTTGTCAGATATGTCATTTTCGTTATTTTGTTGTAGCACATTTAAGATGAAATGAAATTAAAACTCCTCTATAACAATAGGGCTAACATTTTAGGTAGGAATTTATTTTTTTTTTTAGGAAATTAACTAAAATTTTCAATTTTGTTTATTACCACAGATCAACTTTTTTCACCCTAGAAAATTATTAATCTAAACTTTTCGTTGGAAAAAATCCAGAGAGATGTTATTGCAGCCTCTTCCTCAATGTAGACACGATTCCAGGGAAATGCTATTACAGCCTCTTCCTCAATGTAGACACGATTGGTTAATCTGCTCATAAGACATATATTAGGTGGATGGACTACAAGAGTCATGCTTTAAAATGCAGCATTAATTACACAAAGATGGCTTCGAACTTCAAAAGTCCAAAAAATCGTTTCAAAGGACCTACCAGATGGATAGCTTAGAAACTGTAATGGCGGATGAAAGGATCCCTAAAATTACTTGGCATTTGGAAATTATTTGTATATATTCATGTAGATCTGAAAAAAAAATATGGAAAAAAAAAATCGGTAATAAAGGAAATAATAACATTTTCATTAAACAATATATGCTTATGTTATACTAATACAAGAGAAGACCAATAAATTAAATGTAATAATTTCAAGTTGGCAGGATCTGAACAACAATGTCAGTTTGTTCGCATCCTGCATTTCACTTACTGTAATTCGTTCGCTTTCTACAGGTAAACCTTGGCTTATATATCATTTTATACGGTTAAAAAAAGGTGCCTCATCGAAATAACAGTATTAGACCCCAAGCCTTATTGTACGAAATCTATTTCAGGACATTTGAGGTCGATTTACCGTCTGTCTGTCTGGATTGTGATCACGACAATTCTCGAAGGCAGATTCCGATTTTTTCCAAATTTGCTACATTGCAATATTATTATCAAACTCAGGTCGCGCTCGAAGAGAGGCCATATTGGTTCACACCTTCTAGTACATCCCCCCCCCCCCCACCATTGTTCCAAAATTCGAAAGAAAACTGTTTATCTCATATAAAGTGAAATGTTCACTCTATTTTGTTCAAGCGATGCAAATCGTAATATTTGCATCTGTGCTAGGCAGGCGAAACACAAGAACATTTTTTTTTTTTTTTTTGAACAGTCATATCTCTTATAAAATGTGAAATAAGAGTCACATAGTCTTACAATTTCGCACATCCCAATATTCCTATCAACATAACATTTGGTATGAAGAACAGATAGAACGGACCACTCTTTCGGGTATCTCCACCACAACGGGTCAAATTTTTGAATAGACATGACGCTCATAAAAGTCGAAATGAGCACATTCTCATATGTCTACCAACACAATATCTAATGTGGAGATAAAACACATCGGTTCAGTCCTACTTCTAAGTCATCAAAAAAAGGACAACATTTCTTTTTCATAAAATTGTGTCCAAATTACGCACTTTCTATTCCTTGAACACATTTTCTTAATAATAAAACATTAAAGTTCAGATAATCCTTTGAAGAATTTTTAAAAAAAATCTAGGATTAGAGGTCAGAAAATTCTTCAAAAATTTCACAATTATGATATATTCTTAACAAATCAATAATTTTGCCTAATAAAATTATTCACAGTACTCGATATTAAGGTCAGATAGTACTTCAAATAATTATTTAAAAAATTCACGATTAAGGCTTAAATAATCCTCTTCAAAAATGTTCTCCAAATATTTACGTATCATCCTTCAAAATATAATTTTATAAAACCCACCATTATGGCTTTGACGAACCTTAAAAATATGATAGTCTTCAAAAAAAAGTATTCCTAAAAGAAACGTGTGTCAAAAACCCACCATTATGGCTCTAATAGTCCTTTTATTCTTTTTTTTTACTTCACTATAATGATTGAACAATTCTCCATTATGTCTCTAAAAATCATTAAATATTTTACATAAAAATTTGAGATTATGGCTCTAAAGGTCCTTGAAAAATACTTAAAAAAATCCCCGATCATGATCCAAACAATATTTTAATTTTCTTAAAAATCCACGATTATGGTTCATATAAACCTTTAAACAATTTTCTTAAAATATGCAGAATTATGGCTCAGAACATTCTTCAAAAAGTACAATATTCAGGCTTAGAAAATCCTTTAAACATTCTCTATGACCCATACTCTAAAAACCATGATTATGGCTCAAATAATCCTCTTAAAATCCACAATTAAATGTAGAAATCAATTAAAAATATCTTTCAAAAAATATTTTTGTAAATTCCAGGATTACAGCTCCAACGGAGCTTGAAAACTAATCTAAATATTTTCATTATTGTAGTTCAGATGATCCTTTAAAAATATTCTTAAGAAAACACACATTTTATGCTCCATAGGATTTAATTTCATGCTCCATAGAAATATTCTTAAAATTTTATGGGCGAATGGTCCTTCAAGAATTTTTTCTACCCTACAAAAAAATCTTAAAAACTCTCAATTAAGACTCGGATGAAATAATAATCTAAAACTCTGTGATTTATGCATCAAAATTATTCCCAAACTCTCCAGAATCAAATTAATACATTTAATTCAATATAACCTCATCTCAAATATCGATATACAGCTCTGGATCTTCGACACACTCTAATCTTCTATTCTCTGCAAAACATTCCAGAGAACAACAAATGTTTGTTTGTATTTTGAAAAAAAAACACCGAACAACAACATCAAATGAGAAACAACGATTGTATGCAAAACAACGCGAGTTGTTTGAGTTGTTGCTGTTGGCGCAGAGGCCGTGTTTTTATTCTCGCCGTTGTTGTTGCTGTTGTTGAGGTTATTGTCTACTTTAAAGTCTTAACAGAATTGTTATTGTTGTTATTCTGTATATTTTCATTTCCTTTGCTGAGCGAATTCTTTTCCTATAAAAAAGAATGTTGCAAAAAACGCATGGACGACGGCCTTTGATGACAGACATGCAGAAAACAGACAGACATACATGAGGCAAGGGTTAAAGGCTTTTGTCCGGATTTCTCGGTGTTTGGATGTATGTTCGTTTGGGTATCTATGTTTTGGATATCTGCAAAAGAGAGTTGATGTTTTTTTTCGGAATTTGCATTTATTTTGCTCAATTCATTCATGGCATAAAGAAAGAATTAAATCAATAAACCAAATTAAAAATTACAAAAGCTGAATATTTTATTGATTTAATTAGATCAGAGAAAAAATGAAACTTCAAAAGGCAGGAAACACTTGTTAAAAATAAGGTGAAACGTTCCTAAAAACACAGAGTCAGTACGTTGCACTGGTGCTTTATCGAACCATACCAAAAACTTAGCTTTGTGAGAATTTGTGCAATTTCAAATGTCTATACCTTTGGAACAATATATATTACACTAGTGTTGCAATATTTTGCAAGTCATTGAAAAATTCGAATTTTCAAAAACCATGTCATGCCATACTTCAGATGTGGTACCAACAATATAGAAAATGTAGTAGTATTTCCCAATCTATATTGATAAGAAGTAAAGTAATTGACTCAACGATTCATCAACGCTCAGAAAAAACTGCTAAAGGTAGAATCGTGAATTTTTGGGGAGGATCGCTCTTGATCCCGAGGTACTAGAACGGTACGAAAAATACTAAAAAGTAGTAAATATGGTACCCTTTGTATTAGACGAACCAGCAGAACTAGAACTCTTAAATTTGGAATGAGGGGTGTTTTAAAATTCAAAGGGTTTTTTAAATTCGCCCTAAAAGTACTTAAGTGTACTATATTTAGTACAATTTAAATTTGGAAGAACGGATGGAGCTGGATTCCTGAAATTTGAAATTACCATTTGGCTTTAGAGCAGTTGTAGATTGATTTCAGAAAGAACAAATATATGGGAGGCATATCCAATTCTGAATCGATTTTCACTAAATTTGACGGAGACATTTTAATCTTTTATACTGAATAACATTGATATAGAGTGCATCATATCACTTCGAAAAGGCTTTTATTAAAACAAGCCTCCACCATTTGGAACGAATTTGGGAATTTTCAAAAAAATAATTCCGTTAAAAATTCTGTTGAAATCTTAAAAATACCGAATGTAGCCGTTATATTAAGGTCTATACGACGACGTGGACCTGCATAGACAACTTTTTTTCATAAAAAAAATCGGTGAATAATGTAGCTAAAAAAAACCAAAACACCGAAAATAGGGAGGTACCATAATATAGGGGGGCTTTACCAAAACGTGGACCTGTGCAGATAATTTTCTGTCATAGGCTGTATTATCCATTACGAACTTCAAATACCGAATTTGAAACAATTCCGATGAATAATGTCGCTAAAATCATCAAAATTCCGAATATCGAGGGTACCGTTATCTGGGGGCTATAGGAAGACGTGGACTTGTACAGACAATTTCCTGTCATAGGCTGTAGTATCCATTACGAACTTCAAATACCGAATTTGAAACAATTCCGGTGAATAATGTCGCTAAAATCATCAAAATTTCGAATATCGGGAGGTACCGTTATCTGGGGGCTATACGAAGACGTGGACCTGCACAGACAATTTCCTGTCATAGGTGGTAGTATCCATTACGAACTTCAATTACCAAATTTGAAATATTTCCGATGAATAATGTCGCTTAAATCACCAAAACACCGAAAATAGGGAGGTACCATTATATGTTACCAAAACGTGGACCTAAATGGCCCATTTTCAATACCAAAAGTCCTGCATACATAATATACATTTGAGTAAAATTTTATCAACCTACTTCATTTCCTTCGGAAGCCGAAGTGATTTCCACCATAGAATTTTATGCTGATCAAAAATATACAGGGTGAGATGAAAAAACTGCATCAAACTTCAGACTGCTGTCATTTCTAAGCCACTCGTTTGACAACTGTTAAAATTATTCCAGTGACAGATTGCACTCAGCACGCACCACCCAAGAATGGTTACAAATCGAGGTTCCTCACTTTATTTCCAGAGCACAATGGCCCCCAAAATCTCCGGATACCAATCCGTTGGGCTATTATGTCTGGAGTATTTTAGAAAGCAAGGTTGGCACTAAAAAATAACAAAGGTGTCGATCACCTTATGCAAGTGCTTCGCCGAGAATGGGCCCAAATACCGCAGAGCAATATTCGGGCAGCGTGTGACGGTTTCATTGACCTTTGAATCCATAATTCGTGCCAAAAGTGACAATTCGAACAAATCTAAACTTATTCAAAAATCTGAGCTATATCCGATATTTTTTGCTTTCACTCAATAAAAAATAAAAATTGTGGCGTTTGTAATTGTTGCAGTTTTTTTATCTCAACCTGTACACTATATTTATACATTTGAGTCCACAATACCCGTTAAAATCAATCCGACTTATTTTCAAAAAAAAATACTCTTTCAATTCATGCCCGCATTTTTTCTTTTTCAATTTATCAAAATTTCATACTACTGCCCATGGGCAATACAAAACAAGAAATAACAAAAACCCCTTCATTGTGACCGTGTGACAATTTGTCGGTATCCCTT